TTCTCACCCTTGAAAATTATAATATCTATACAAATGTAACTTTGAGCAAGTTACTACCTGCGAACGTTTCCAGCTAATTTGTGTTAAATACATGTCTGGGTATTTGAAATAGTTTGTTACATATGCTTATTATTAATAAGACAATTAAATGCTGATATTGGTTTCCAAAGAAAGATTTTATAATGTCTTCCTTCTGAGTAATTAGAAAGGCAGACTCCTTTACTGTTAGGGCCACTCCTTTGCTCGAGAAACTGAAACCCTACCAACCACTCTTTTTTTTTTTTTTTCTTACCAACTGTAGGAAAACACCTAGCTAGTTAAATGGCAGAGCTAGGTGTGGAGTGAGTCACTAAATGTGGTCTCTCTACCCCTGCCACTATAAAAAGGGGATACACTTTCTACAAACTGTCATGACAATCATATGATAAGAAAAAATCAAACTGAGCAAATATAATAACAACGACTATTTGCACTAACAATAAAAGGAGTGTTATTTTCTCAAGGCCAGGTAGCAAAGTACACATGCTTCCTTATGGCACTCGGTAGACATCTGTCACTTGGAAAGCAGACTGAATTTGGCCTTAACCATGGCATTGGTTTCTTCGCCTAGTAGGTCTAGATGTATGTATTTATATCTTGATTGTTTTTCTAATTTGGATTTTATCAGCCCAGAAAAGAGAAGAAGCAAGTCAAGGGACTTCTATTCCCAAGATGAGCTTTGAGTTCTCCAAGTAGAGCTGGATTGGATCAAACACATGGCCAGCTCTGGTAGGATCTTACAGGAGTGCTGTTGTGATCCCCTAGGAGCAGAGAAGCATTGGAGCTTTTACTCCTAGGCATTTATAGACAAGATCATCTCTCTTTTAAGTTTATTTATTTTTTAATGTATCTATTTATTTATTTGAGACCGAGAGAGAGAGAGAGAGAGAGAGCATGAACAGAGGAGGGGAAGAGGGAGACGGAGACAGAGGATCCAAGCAGGCTCTGCACTGACAGCTGAGAGCCCGACGCGGGGCTCGAACTCACAAACCACGAGGTCATGATCCAAGCCTAGCTGAAGTCAGATGCTTAACTGACTGAGCCACCCAGGCACCCGGATCATCCCTCTTTTAGAAAAGACTCTTTTAACTCCATGGGCAGAGACTCTAGGTAACGACAGCCACTGCACTTGTCCTACTTAAATTGCTATTGTTGATTCAAACAGGCACAGTGACGTTGCTAACATACCTGCACTGTGTTGCTTCTGAAATATGACAGGAAGCATCAGCTGTGGTAGCAAAGGAGCACATGGGGTGTGTAGAAGCCACATCTGCCATTCAAAATGGAAAAGAACAGGTGAAATTACTAGACTGCCGTAAACCTAGCATATGTTGTCTAGCATCTAAAAGCAATTGTATTTGTAGGACTCTACTATAAATGTAGAGAGTGGGAAATCTCCACCACAAATATCATATTGACACTACGGTTATTTCTTCAGAGGCTAGATAACTTGATATTCATGTGAATTAAGAAGGCCAGACAGAGAAGACAGGAGACTTTAATTTTTTTGTTTTTTAAAGTAACCATTACAACATCATGGACAGTGCCTATAAGACTTGGTTCAAAACTTGTTTGCATCAAGAAATTCAAACAGAGAGGGAGGGAGGCAAACCATAAGAGACTCTTAAATACAGAGAACAAACAGGGTTGATGGGGGATGGGGGAGAGGGGAAAGTGGGTGATGGGCATGGAGGAGGGCACTTGTTGAGATGAGTATAGGGTGTTGTATGGAAGCCAATCTGACAATAAATTATATTTTAAAAAAAGTAATAAAATACCCCCAACTAAGTAAACAAACATAAAAATAAAGAAATTCAGGGGCGCCTGGGTGGCTCAGTTGGTTGGCCGTCCGACTTCAGCCCAGGTCAGGATCTCACGGTCCGCGAGTTCCAGCCCCGCGTCGGGCTCTGGGCTGGTGGCTCGGAGCCTGGAGCCTGCTTCTGATTCTGTGTTTCCCTCTCTCTCTGCCCCTCCCCCGTTCATGCTGTGTCTCTCTCTGTCTCAAAAATAAATGTTAAAAAAAAAAAAATTAAAAAAAAAATAAAGAAATTCAATGCACAACAGTGTATTGAACATTTATCAGCCACATATATGAGTCCAACCTCTCTTCTAAGTGCTTCTTGTGGTTACATGGTGAGGTCAAGTTGGTTAAAGCAATAGTATTATTTCCTGGATGGAACATGCTAGAAAGAGGCAGGTAATGTACCTGGACAAGTAAAGAAGCAAGAACAACAAAACAACTTTCAAGGAAGCTTGACAGAAGAATGTATCGCGGTGAGAGATGAGAAGGTGTGACCTTAGATTTCTGCCTTTTCAAATGTTTCACTTTCTGCAGCATTTAATGATTGAAAAGTGCCGCTAGTCATTTTCAACTTGCGGTCGGGCTACAGGAACCACAGAACAGGAACCCCACTGTGGCAGGAGTTGGAAGCAAAAAGCGTTTTGTGTGGGTTCACTCACACAATTTAATTTTGTTGTATTATTAGTGGGTTCTAAGGTATGGTTGTTAACTTCTCCTGTTTAAGGCTCTTTCCCTGCTTTTATTTTTTCCTTTCCTTTCTACCCTTTATTTTCCCTCCAGAACCTTCCCTCGCTAAGGCTGGTGATGCATCTGCAGGGAGGCCACAGGGGGAAAATCCCAGATTTTCTATAGGTCCCAGGTGACTTTTCTCTGACTCTGCCGGTAACTTGTCTCATACCTTCAGCCCAGGGATTTCATGGTTCTGAGGCTAATTCTCCCCATTTTAAACTAGGGATATTATGAACTGCTTCACAGGTTTGTGAAAATTAAATGTGAACCTGTGTTGTATGCTAAGCCCAGAAAGTGGTGAGTGATTCTGTTCATCAGCAGTAGCTGATACTGTAAGTATTCTTTTGTTTTTAAATTTTTATTTATTTAAAAACAATTTTGGGGCGCCTAGGTAGCTCAGTCGGTTAAGAATCTGACTCTTGGTTTCGGCTCAGGTCATGATCTCACGTGTGTGAGTTCGAGCCCCGCGTGGGGCTTGGTGCTGACAGCACAGAGCCTGCTTGGGATTCTCTCTCTCTCCCTCTCTCTATCTGCCCCTCCCCCACTCACCCCCCCTTACTCTCTCTGTCTCTCTCTCTCAAAAATAAGTAAACAAAACTTAAAAAAATTCTTTTAAATCTAAAAAAATAAAAACAATTTTTTTAATGTTTATTTTTGAGAGAGAGAGAGAGAGAGAGAGAGCGCACGAGTAGGGAAGGGACACAGAGAGAGGGAGACAGAATTCGAGACAGGCTCCAGGCTCTGAGCTGTCAGCACAGAGCCCAACTTGGGGCTCAAACTCACGAACCGTGAGATCATGACCTGAGCTGAAGTCAGATGCTTAACGGACTGAGCCACCCAGGCGCCTCACGTATTCTTTTCATGAAGGGGGCAGCTCTGTTTCTGCCCAAGGGCTCATGCGTTTTAAATATTTTTCTTCCTGGCCCCCTCCATGTCTGACCATACTATTATCATCATTAGCCAACCTTTATTAATTTTTTAATGTTAATTTATTTATTTGAGAGAGAGAGAGGAGAGAGAGTGTGTGAGCCCAAGCAGGGAGGGCAGAGAGAGAGAGAGAGAGAGAGAGAGAGAGAGAGAGGATCCCAAGCAGGCTCCGGGATGTCAACACAGAGTCCCAAGCTGGACGCTAACCCACAAACCCTGAGAACGTGACCTGAACGAAATTAAGAGTTGGAAGCTTAATCGACTGAGACACCCAGGCGCCCCTCCTCAGTAGCCAACCTTCGATAAGTGCCTATTAAGGACGCTGCGGTAAGTACTTTACGAAAAGCATTTAATTATTTCTCAGAATCTATACAACAGCTATTATTCGAATCCCAGTTTATTAACGAGAAAGTAGACATTCAGAGGCATTAAGTGAACTGGCGGGTTTATAGCATCTGTTGCCAAGACAGGATTTGATGAGGTCTTTCGGCTTAACCACCAATGACACCAGTTAAACTCTCCAGCTCAGGGCCACCCACTCCCTACAACCACCTGTGGGACGCAGGGTCTGTCCCACACCCAGGTTAGCTCCTAAACCTCTGTTGTAGCTGATTTCTGATGGGGGGTGGGGGGGTGAGGGGTGTGGGGTTCTGGCCTCTCGGGAGGCGGTGGGGGCGGGGGTTCCTATCCTTCCTTATCTCCTCCTCAGCCACCTGCAAGACCGACTCGGTACCCAGTAGACAGGGGCTCCTTAATCGAAGGGGAAAGAAACTGACCAGGCAGACATTAAGAGTACACAGAAGAAGAGTTTAGCGTGAAGGGGAGAGGAAGGAAGAAAAAGAATTCAAGGGAAAGGACCAAAGGGCAAATATTTGCTGAACTCCTTCGCGCCAGTCATCGGACCCAGCCGGCTTTAAGGGTCCCTGCGCACGAGTTCTCAGCGCACTGGGCACGGAGATCGGCCTAATGTTCACAGACGAGGAACCAAGGTTCAGAGAACAAAGAGCTCGGCGCATCTGGGTGGCCGCTTTGCACCCGCAGTCGCGCCCCCGTGGCACGGGCTGGATGTGGTGCCTGGTATCTCCTGCCAGGGTCAGGGTGGTAAACACGGAGGTTGCGCCCTCCCCACCGATCCCTTAGGGAGCGGTGGCACCCTGGGGCACTCCTCTGCGTATCCGCGAAGACACGGTACTCTGCGATGACAAGTTCGCAAGTCACAGCTGTCCCCTTTCCTCACGTCGCACTAAAACGCGGGTGAACTCCGCGCCCAGTCACCGCCACGCTGCTGGGACGTATCTTCCTTTTCTTGGCAGCCGGGCCAGACGAGGCAGCTCAGCGTGATCTCTTCCTCTTCGCCCCGCGGGTGCCCAGAGGCAGCAGCCGCCAGAGCCACCAGGGGCCGCGCCCGCGCTTAGGTGGGAGGTGGCTCCAAGGTGACGCGCGGCCACCTCCGCCCCCTGGAGGCGGGGCTGGCGGGCGGGGGCCAAGGAAGTCGCACGGCCCCGGAGGTGCCCTCGCCCCCGCCGCGTCTCGGCTGCTCTTGCGCCGGCGAGAGGCAGCCGCGGCGGGTCCCGGCAAGCGAGGGGCGCGCCTTGACCCCCTCGGCAGCCCCCGGGGACGCAACCTCCGACAGGTGAGGGGCGGTGCGGGGCGCACCTGGCAGCGCGCGCGGGAGGGGCGCGGGGGCGCCGCCTGCTCTCTCCCGGGGTGGGCGTCTGTGCTCCCCACCGAGGTGAGAGGGGTCGGGGACCCTGAGGGCTCAGGATGGGAATCCAGGGAAACTCCTTCCCGGGACCCAGAAGGTGTGGCAAGGACGGGAGGCAGCAGTCCGCGGCGGCTAGTCCTGGAGGGCGCACGAGGGGCGGGCAGTCTGCCGCGGGAATTCTTGGCTTCTGAAAAGGCACACCTTTGGCCGCCTCTGGGCGCAGTGGGGTCGGTCACCGCCACCGCCCGGGCTCTTTCTGCGGAGGTCAGCCCCTCATTTGGGTGGGATTTGACGCGCTCCCTCCGTGGAGACCTGGAGGTTCCGCTTTGGTGCCTAGCGCAGCTGCACGACAGCTGAAAGCTTTAGAAGACTTGTCTGGGTTACAGAGGGGTCTCTCGCACGTTAAAAAAAAAAAAAAAAATACGGTGATGGTGAACTTGAGAGGCGATGGCTTCAGCAGTTAGTTCCCCAGCGCTCTGTCCATTTGTTAGGCAAATTGGGGGCGCTGATGGCTTTTAAAGATGGTTGCGTTTCCTTAAAGGGGTGAACACATCTTAACGAACTTGTGTGCGGTGTCTGAGGGTTTCGGCGGCGTGTGGGTCCTTACGTAAGTGTGGGCTGGAAGTTACCTCGGCGAGGGCCACTTACGGCTACCAGACAGCTTCCAGGTGAACCCTAGAACTTTACAAAACCTGCTTCCCAAGAAGCGGAACTTCAGGCAGACAGGTCTATGGATTATGGTTTCCATTAGCGTTCATTTTTTTGTTTGGGTCAGCAGCATTTGAATTCAATACGTATTGGTTGTCTGCCTGTTAAGGGCGAACCTCTGCGGGAGCCAGGTTGGTGTGCTTTTGGTAGCACGGGTATTGGGACGAAGGGGGCATTTTAGGGCACTCATTCCTCACAGGTGGGTGTTTAGAAAGGGCAATGGCACAGGGACGCCTCTTTAATCTCTGCTAATAAGCATTTAAATGCAGGGAGAATGCAAATCTCTGAAGACTGTCGTTAGCCTGGCCTGCCACCCACCCGACAGGGACATCAAACCTGTTCTTTAAAATAAGATTGTTGGGGCGCCTGGGTGGCGCAGTCTGTTAAGCGTCCGACTTCAGCTCAGGTCACGATCTCGCGGTCCGGGAGTTCGAGCCCCGCGTCGGGCTCTGGGCGGATGGCTCAGAGCCTGGAGCCTGTTTCCGATTCTGTGTCTCCCTCTCTCTCTGCTCCTCCCCCGTTCATGCTGTGTCTCTCTCTGTCCCAAAAATAAATAAACGTTGAAAAAAAAAATAAGATAAGATTGTTAAGGATCCATTCTGCGCCATGCACCATGCTGGGCACTTTATCTTGCTGCATAAAATACACACCATAGGTATTCTTCCCCCGGTAGAGGCAGGGAAGAATTCAGCAATTTGTTCAAGGTTGTTAGAGCACCTGAGAGTGGCAGGTAACTATGTCCGAGGGCAAAACGCCTACTTTTTTTCTACTCCTCAGTGCTGTGAGGCCAACAGTGTAAATCTGCCATATTGAATGGAAAATAACTCAAATTTATATTCGTAGAACAATCCACGTCCCGGGACTGAAGGTCACTGTCGTGTATGAGTGTTGCTTTTATTCTCTTTGTGTGGTTGAACCATGGTCAGTCTGGGACAAGAAGATGAACAGCTTCTTCTTCTTTTTTTTTTTTTTTTTTTTTTTTTTTAATACAGAATTTATTATGTGTCTTCCTTAACATACTTTTAAGGACCCGACATATCCGACTGGGACAAGTCAGTAAAACTTGGTAGGCATTCCTTGGGTATTACGCATTGAGGGGACAGCCAGTTTTCATATTATTCATAGCTTTTAACATTTTTGCAGCTGGATTTCATATCTTCCAGATGAATGGAATCCATCATCATCACCTAGAAAGGACTTTGTGTGTAGAAATCTATAATCATACATGAATATACATAACATTTACTTTATTTTTTTTTTCTTTTCAACGTTTTTATTTTATTTTTTTTTTATTTTCGGGACAGAGAGAGACAGAGCATGAACGGGGGAGGGGCAGAGAGAGAGGGAGACACAGAATCGGAAACAGGCTCCAGGCTCTGAGCCATCAGCCCAGAGCCCGACGTGGGGCTCGAACTCACGGACTGTGAGATCGTGACCTGGTTGAAGTCGGACGCTCAACCGACTGCGCCACCCAGGCGCCCCGACATAACATTTACTTTAAAAGATGTACCCATTTTTCCTTAAATCTCTAGAAGTGTAGAGTACTGCAGTGTGCTTGTTTGGGAAGAAATCCTAATATCCCAAGTTTAGCCTTTGAGTAAGAATGATCCATAACAGCTCAGAATTTCTTTAAGTTCCTGTAAACCACAAAAGTGATTTTCAAACTGCAGTTATACTGTAGAGGATGAGAATGACAATAAGCCTTTGAATTTTAAGTAATATTTCAAAACTTGCTTTCTTAAAACCTTCCTTATGATTGTGAGTAATTACACACAGAAATTGAGGGGTTTCGTGTTTAAATTATCTTAAGGTGTTGAAAATAAAGCAGTGGTGTTTTTTGTTGTTGTTGTTGTGTGTGTATGTGTGTGTGTTTAAGGGAGTCTTTTTGCCTGTGTTGAGACAATCAGGTGGGATCTTCTGCCTGGGTTGTGCCTGGCACAGTTTTTATTTTCTCTATCTTCATTTGACAGTGAAACTGATAGGCTGACAGCACACCTTGAAGTCCTCTTTAGGAGTATTTGAAATCCTGCCTAGAATGTGTTTGTAGAAGTGTGCGTGGCTTGGTGAGATGCTCTAATGAAGAGGCAGAGAGTGTTGAATTAGAGAAATTGCCAGAAAAGCCAAAGAGCCCAGGAGCAGAGTATTCATGAGATGTGAAATGGGCAGATCTCCATTTTCGATTTGGGGATGCTTTTTAGGAAAAATAACGCAAAATGTGTTAGGAAAGCGGACGCTTATTTAGAATGGAAAAAGAAATGATAACCATTTGCTGGAGGTTCCTGTCTTCTCTCCGCTGAGATCTCTCCAATTTTCCACTTCCTCTCCAGCTGCTTTTGGGGAGGGGTGCTTTTCCCTGTTCTTCGCCCCCCCATCCCCAGTCTCCATCCTCTCTCCGCCCACAAAAGCAGATCCCTACCCTCTGTGGCTCCTCGCTCCCCAAATTCACCTCTCCGCGCTGTGTACCTGCTGAATTTTGTGGTTCATATTGTGCAGATTGTTGTATAAATCCTCCAGTCAGTGTTCTAGGTGTGTAGGATGGTTTAGTGTTGGTCTGGCTGTATTTCATGGACGCGAGACACACAAAAAACTTCCATGCTGTTCCGCCATCTTGGCTCCCATCTCTCTGCTGAGATCTTTTTGGGCAGTTTACCAGAAATACTTACGCAAAAATGCTTCCTGATTGCAACCCTCTCTCCCTGAGAACACTTAGCATCTCCTAGCAGCTTGTAGCCCTCATAGAGGCCAGTAAGAGGCAGGAAGTTGAAACCTCACTACCTTCATAGAGTAAGAGACCAAGTTGTGGTTGGAGGGAGGCAAAGGACTCATGGTTGGCTGAGTGGAGTTGAGGCCGGTGGCTGGGGTGGGAGGGATACTGGTCTTATCGGGGACTCGGCATTTCATACCTAGTGATCAGTCCCAAGAGGAAGGCTCAGAGCTGGACTCCAGGACCTTTCAGTTTGCTTGGCTCTCCCAGTCACCGTTTACTGAGGGTTTTCTCTGTCCCAAGCACTGACTCTGGTGAGGTCGTATTTGTCACCGAGCTCCTGGTGTCATGGAGCTGGTTTTATTATGACAGCACAGTGTTGTGGGTGCTGGCCTAGAGCCTGGAGGGCTCCTGATTGCTTGAACTGAGTTTGGAATTGTTGGTGGAGTTAGTGAGATGAAAGGGTCCAAGGTGGAAGGCTGTAGAAGGCCTGGAGGTTTGGACCTACACGCTTCCTCCATGGTTGCCGTGAGGCCCCCTTGGTTAGTGCTTCTCAACGTGTCCTTCCCGACCAGCTGAACGCACCCACTGGGATTAACTTCTTAGAAATGCATGTCCTCAGGCCCCATCCCGGGCCCCCCTGAATCAGAAACTCTATGTCTGGAGCATAGCAGTCTGCCCTCCTGATGATTCTGGTCTATGCCAAAGTTTGAGAACCACCGCTCTTCGTATTTACGAGCACTGGTAGGGCATAGATGGAATAAAGAGAGCATATAAGCTCATATATTAGGATTGGCATAGAAGTATCATTTATAGTATGATCACTGACATTTATTGAGCACCTAGATTGTACTCAGGCGTTGTGCTAAGAAATACGAACTCTTTTAATCATGAATACAACCCCACAAAGCGGGCCTGTTGACACTTCCATTTAATTTGAGAAAACCGAGGCTCAGAGACACCAGGGTAATGTCCCAGGGCACACAGCTAGAAGGCGGTTCAGCCAGGATTCAGGCGCCTTCCCTCTCTTCTTGCCCGGGAGAGTTTGCATCCGTGTCCTTGCTGTGGGCGGGCGTTGTCGGAGAGGCTGGAAGGCTACCTGGAATGGCCCTGTTTAACAACCCACGGTGATTTGCTGATCACTTGGGGTCAACAGGCTTTTCTTTAGGGACACATTGCCGGAGGACAGAGGAAGAATTGTGTCAGTCCCTCCTAGTGTGAATTTCTAAGGTTTCCTAAGCAAGTGGGCACGATTGCATATATATGACGAGTAACACGGAAGATGCCTCTTTCCCTGGCATGATTATGGGCTCATATGGATTTCTCCTGTGGGTGACTGTGGAAGGTGGCTTTGTTTTGGAATGTGAGCTTCATCTATTAGCATGGAGGCCTTTCTTCCAAAGGCCAGTTCCCTGCCCAGGACACAGAGGGCTTAAAGATGATGGTGTGTTTGTCCATCGTGTCCTGGAAGGCATCTAGAAAACCTATGCTTGCTTTGCAAGGTCACGGTTGTTTG